ACACCCACTCTCCCAGGCAAGCGAGGGCACCGACAAGTGCTGCAACGGCCCGAAGCAACTCCCCGAAATCGACGCGTGCTGCGACCCGCTCCCCACCACTCCGGAATGCACCCTCGCCAAGCTCAACGTCACCTCATTCCCGCAATTTGTACCTTTCATCGGCCGGACCATTGCCGATCCCACCTGTCCGACCGCTCAAAGCCGAACCAGTGCTGCTGATTCCGCTGCTGTGGGCTCTCCACCTTCCCCCCCATCCAAGTCAGCCCAATGTACCAGCCTGGTTTCTGGGATGGTGGGGTTCGGCCTGTTTGCGCTGGCAGCTGCTGCTTCTTCCACGCTTCTCATGTAAACAGATTGGAATTCAGACGGTTCTTTATCAGCCAAATCCTCAGGCCCCAGGTGTCCGGCCGCACAAAGCAGGTCCTGTGGTCAGGCCCTCATATTCGTTTTTGGCCTGTCTGATTCGTCAGACTAGTATACAATTTTAGTCTGAAAATCTCAGAGTTGGTATAAAAAAAAGGCTGAAATTTCAAAGTGTCCTAAAAAAAAAGTCTGATAATTCAAAAACAATGTATTCAATGTTTCATCGGAATGTAATCAATGTTTCATTCATCTGCTACCGAAACACACAACACTAAAGGGGATTTCCGATAAAACATGCTCTGACAGGGTGAATATATGTGTCAAGTCAGAACATTATAGCTTATGCTTTTGTGTAGGCTGTAGTGGGGTATCCCATAGGGGGTACAACCCAATTAGGGTTAGTACTTGTACCCACTTCATTCATAGTTCATTCATTCTCGTTTCAGTTTTCTCTTGGTATCGAGCAGGTTCCCTCGTGGGAACTGTTCCTAGGGCCCTACTACTGCTTCCGCTGCTACTCGATCTGTCGCACGCCCCGTGGCGTGCGACCGGCGCGCGGCGATTTTCTTTCTGGCGCGCGCCCCGAGGCGCGCGGCCCCGCTACCCCGTCGTGCCGCCCTAGCGGCCGCGTCGCGCCGCCCACGCGGCCCCGATCCGCCGCCCTAGTGGCCCCGTCACCTACCCCTACGGCCTCAGCGCCGCCCTTCCCGGCCCCGGCTCCGCCCTTCCCGGCCCCGGTGCCACCTCGGCTGGCCCCGTCGCCTACCCCGGCGACCCCGACGCCGCCCTTCCCGACCCGGCCCCACCTCTGCTGGCCCCGTCGCCTGCCCCTGCGGCCCCGGCGCCGCCCTTCCCAGCCCCGGCGCCACCTCGACTGGCCCCGTCGCCTACCCCGGCGACCCCGACGCCGCTCTTCCCGACCCGGCCCCGCCTCTGCTGGCCCCGTCGCCTACCCCTGCGGCCCCGGCGCTGCCCTTCCCGGCCCCGGCGCCACCTCTGCTGGCCCCGACGCCGCCCTTCCCGGCCTCGGCGCCGCCTCTGCTGGCCTGGTCGCCTACCCTGCAGCCCCGGCGCCGCCTCTGCTGGCCCCGTCGCCGCTGCACCCGGCCCCGCCGCCGTCCCCAAGCGGCCCCGCCGTCACCACCGAGCCGTCGGCGCCGCCGAGCTAGTGCCGAGCCGCCTGAGCCACCCGAGCCGCCCGAGCCGCAGCGCCACCTCAGCCGCCCGAGCCGCCGGGTCGCCGAGCCGCCGAACTCCAGTTGCTGCCGAGCCGCCGTACCGCTGAGCCGCCCGAGCCGCCGAGCCGCCCGAGTCGCCCGAGCCGCCGAGCCGCCCGAGTCGCCCAAACGCCGAGCCGCATTTGCTGCCGTGCCGCCGTGCCGCCAAGCCGCCCGAGCCGCCCGCACCGCCGAGTCGTCGAGCATGCTCTTCCCACCACTGTTGAGCCCCTGCCTTACTAGCGCGCTGCCCGCCGCTTGCTTGGCTGCCTGCCTTACTGCTGCTACTCCTGCTCCTGCTTCTACTGGCGGAGCCAGATGCAGCCACAGCGACGTCCGCGTGAGTCCCTCACGCCCCAGCAGCTGCGTGAGTGGTACACTGGTTGGGGTTGTAGGGGTGGTGGCGCTACTACTGCTACTACTACTGGCGGCGGCCAGATGCAGCTCCAACTACGCCCACGCGCGTCTCTCACGCCCCAGCACCTTCGTGAGTGGTACGCTCAGAGTAGAGGGTCTCTCAGTTCTGTTCGCTGCTCTTACGTGATTCGCACTGGTGCTCGGACTGGTCAGCCTTGTGGGACGCCTAGTCACACACAGTCCCGCTGCTTCGCCCGTCTGAGCGACGCCTGGCGTACCGAGTTTGGCGACGAGGCTGAGCTCCCCGACAGGGTGGAGTTGCTTAGGCAGAGGGTAGATATATTTGCTCTTGACTATGATGCTTTTCTCACTGCCATGTATGCTTTGCCTACTAGTGCTGACCGTGCCGGTCACCTGTGCGTACCGCCTGACCCAGGTATAGAGCCTGCTGCTCTAGCTGCTGGTGAGGCTGCTGCTCTGGGTGCTAGTGAGTCTCCTGCTCCAGGTACAGGTGCGGCTGCTGCTCTAGGTGCTAGTGAGTCTGCTTCCTCAGGTGCTGGTGAGTCTGCGCTCTCAGGTACTACATCGGCTTCGGCCTCCCACACATTAACACTTCACTCGGGGGCTTCTCGCTCCTTCTTTCGAGACCGCACCACACTCACGCCGCTTGGTCGGCCAGTTGCAGTCTCTCTGGCAGACCCCTCTGGGGGTCCTGTCCTTGCTCACTTCTCCACTATCCTCCCGTGTCCGGCGGCCCCCTCTGGCACCCTGTCTGGTCTTTACCTCCCCTCGTTCTCTACGAACTTGGTGAGTGGTGCTGACCTACAGGATGCGGGGGTTCACCAGTTCACTCCTGCGAGCCAGCGGGTGACGCACTGCACGGACGCTCGGACGGGCCGACACTTGGCCACGTTTACTCGTAGGCCGGGGTCAAGCATGTACACACTGACCACTGCGTCCCCTCCAGCCACTGCGTCTGGTGAGGTAGCTGCGTCGGGTCAGGTGTTTGCTGCAGCGTCCAGGTCTGGTCCTGAGTCTGCCCCCTACTCGTGTCGCCTCCTGTCTCACGAGACTCTCCTGTGGCACCACCGCCTTGGTCACCCCTCCCTGCTTCGTCTCCGAAGCATGGCCTCCCATATCCTTTTCTCTGGTCTTCCCCGGTCCCTCCCTCCCCTTCCTCCGGGGCCTGGCCCCACCTGCGTCCCCTGTGTCGAGGGGCGGCAGCGGGCTGCCCCTCACTCCTCCCAGTTTCCTCCGACAGAGGCCCCGCTGCAGACGCTTCACATGGACGTGTGGGGCCCGGCCCGCGTCCGTGGACAGGGTCACGAGCGCTACTTCCTGCTGGTGGTTGACGACTACTCGCGTTACACCACAGTCTTCCCCTTGCGCAGCAAGGGTGATGTCACTGAGGTGTTGATCGACTGGATCCGCGCAGCTCGTCTCCAGCTCAGGCGGAGCTTCGGCTCGGACTTTCCTGTTCTGCATCTGCACTCTGACAGAGGCGGAGAGTTCTCCTCTGGCCTTCTGCGAGCCTACTGTCGTGCACGAGGCATCCGCCAGACCTTCACGCTTCCGGACTCTCCACAGCAAAATGGGATTGCTGAGCGCCGCATTGGCATGGTCATGGACGTCGCTCGTACGTCCATGATGCATGCGGCAGCCCCCCATTTTCTGTGGCCGTTTGCGGTCCGGTACGCGGCGCATCAGATCAACCTTCAGCCCAGGGTCTCCATGCCGGAGACCTCCCCAGCCTTGCTGTGGACGGGGAAGGTTGGCGATGCGTCTGCGCTCCGTGTCTGGGGATCTCGGGCGTTTGTTCGCGACTTGTCTGCGGACAAGCTGTCCCCTCGTGCTGCTCCTTGCGTCTTCCTGGGTTTCCCCCCTGACGCACCAGGGTGGCAGTTCTACCACCCCACCTCTCGCCGTGTTCTGTCCTCCCAGGACGTCACGTTCGACGAGTCGGTCCCCTACTACCGTCTCTTCCCCTACCGCACTCCGTCCCTCCCCCCGCCACCGCTCTTCCTTGTGCCAGGTCCCCCCCCGGTAGACCCCCTCCCCCCTCAAGGTCTTGCCCTTTCAGGTGTGTCCCAGGTAGACGCTGTCGAGCCTGTCGAGATTTTCTCATGTTTGGGCGAATCTTGTGGTGCGAAAGAGCGAATCTGCAATGTCAGGGCGAGTTTTCTGTGATTGGTCGAAAATTGTTGTGCTCTGACAGCGCAAATCTGTTGTGTCAGGGCGATTTTGCTATGATTGGGCGAAAATCTTGTGCTATAAGGCTCGGATTTGCTGTGTCAAGGCGATTTTGCGTTGACATTGCGAATCTGTTGTGACCCGTAAGTCCGAATCACCAGTCAAGGACACGTTTGTACTCTGAATGATCAGAATACACTCTCAGAAAACTCTGAACTTCAGAGTTAGCCTTAAAAAAAGTCTGAAAATTACAGAGTTTGGAGCCAAAAAAGTCTGATTTTAACAGAGAACCCTGGAAAAAAAATCTGAAATATCAGAGTTTTTTGTGCAAATCAGAGAAAAAAGTCTGACTTCGTAGGGCCTGCCTGTGGTGCTGCTTCTCAAATGTCGCGTAATAGGTGGATTTTTAAGGCGACTCAGTATTTTTTCTTGGCCTTTTAGGGCTACTGGTGGGTTGAACCACCTGTGTAAGTTAAACATGGTGAACGTTTTTTGTAATTATGATTGATAACGATTAATATTATAATTTATTATTATCATTACTATTCATTATTATTAATATGACGCATGCTCAAGTTGATCACTGCATGTACCATTAGTTATCCAAGAAAAAAACTATTTTTAGCAGGCTAGCACCAATACCCTGCTAGAGTTACAATGGCAGTGCGCTGAGTATACGATGAGTTATCAGCTTTCCTTATCATGCATCACATGGAATGGTATGGTATGGTACGGTATGGTACCTTGAGCAACAATGGTGTTGCTGGCTGAATCAACCTGACCTACAGTCCCTAACAGGCAGTGGCCCATTATCATGACCTCCCATGAACCAAAGTCGTGTCCCAGCAGAAACAAACTCATCTACAGTATGCCTCACAACCCTACCCACGCCAGCCACACTCCCAACCAGCTCAGTACAAGCCCCAACACGGCCCCACTCCCTCGCCCACCACCACCACCAGCGCTTTTCTTCCCTGCAGTCCCCGCATCAGGTGCCGTTCCGAGCATAGCAAGGGAAGGGTTCTCAGTGCAACCCTTGCTGTCGATCTGCCGGCCCACAAACGGGCGGAACTCGGGGTTCTCCTTGAAGCTGACGGTGCCGCGAGGACACGTTCGGGGGACCTTTAATGGGTCGCAGCAGAGGGTGGTTGCTGGGAGGGCCTTTGGTCCGTTATAGCACGCTTCATTGTTCTGTAAAGGAGCAAATGGGTGAAACGGGGGGGCAAGAGGGCAAGGTGTTATCAATTAGTGTTGTGGGGAGAATAGATGGGGGGTTTGGAGTTGCTGCAATAGCCCTTGCTGTCGATCTGCCGCCCCACAAATGGGCGGAAATCGGGGTTCTCTTTGAAGCTGATGGTGCCGCGAGGACACGTTCGGGGGACCTTTAATGGGTCGCAGCAGAGGGTGGTTGCTGGGAGGGCCTTTGGTCCGTTATAGCAGTGCAATGTTATCAATTAGTGTTGTACGGATGATAGGTGTGGGGTTTACGACACCCATTACAGGAGAGAGTGTGTGAGGAGATAATCGGCAAAGAGGGCTCACCGGTTTAAAGTTGACAGTGTAGTTGAGCGTGCCGATCAGCCCGACGACCGCTCCAAAGAGCGATGCTCCCTCGACATGTTACCGCATATAGTTTAAAGAATCCAGCAACCGAGGAGTTCAGTTGACTTTCGAGTCGACTCAAAAACGATGCTCCCTCGACATGTTACCGCATCTAATTTATAGAATTCAGCGACGGAGGAGTTCAGTTGACTTTCGAGTCGACTCAAAAGCGATGCTCCCTCGACATGTTATCACATCTAGTTTATAGAATCCAGCAACCGAGGAGTTCAGTTGACTTTCGAGTCGACTCAAAAGCGATGCTCCCTCGACATGTTACCGCATCTAGTTTATAGAATCCAGCGACCGAGACTTTCGAGTCGACTCAAAAGCGATGCTCCCTCGACATGTTACCGCATCTAGTTTATAGAATCCAGCAACCGAGGAGTTCAGAGCCTTACAGGTTTGATCTTGACGGTGTAGTTGAGCTTGCCAATTAGCCCGATGACCGCTCCAAAGAGTTTTGTCATGAAGAGCTCTTTAGTGGGGAAGAAATCCGCCATGGTTCCAAAGCCGGGCACTGGTGGGTGGTTGTGGGGAGGGATGTAGAATAGGGAGTGGAGGAAATGAAGTTCGGTTGGGATGCGTAGCTACAAGGGCAGAACAGAGCAGCTCTGTCATGAGTCCAAAGCCGGGCACTGGTGATCGCACATGGGGTGTGTGAGAAGAGGGAGAGGGAGAGGAGGGAGCGGAGGGAGGAGAGGGAGGACGGGGAAATAGCACCAAAACGCTTGTTCTGATGGTTATGGGAACATCAGGGAGTATGGGGGGAGTTGGGTGCAAAGAGGTTGAGAGCGGTTCAACTCACGTGGAAGGTCCTTGCAGCTTTCGTAGACGACAGAGGAGTAGTCAGAGCACACGGACAGGATGCCCTTGGTGTTTCGGTCCACAATTTGCAGGTAGTTTCCCGACTCTGCAAGTATGGGCAGGTGAGGAAATTCGGATGTTTGCAAAAATTAGGATACATATGCATTTTTGCGAGCCGGTCTGCCAGAAGAAAAGAAGAATGGTAGTCTGGCGAGACGAAGTCGACGAATACTGGCGAGACGAAGTCGACGAATACTGGCGAGACGAAGTCTGGAGAGACGAAAGAAAGCAGCGGGCCCAAATTGCGAGCTCACTGTATCCTGAAATCCCACAATGTGTCGTTTGGATCACACGCAGTCGCACCTGGGTCGCAGCCGTTGGCGCAGACGACTTGTTCGAGGTGCAGCTGGCACGCGGAGTTACTCGCGAAGATGGAACAGAGCTGGGGGGAGGGAAGAGGGGGAAGGGGGGGATTGGGGAAGGGAAGAAATGGCTTTTTGGACCAAAAGGGGAAGGGGAAGGGGAAGGGGAAGGGGAAGGGGAAGGGGAAGGGGAAGGGGAAGGGCGGAAAGCGATTGGGGGTTGACGGAAGGGCAATGGGCTAATTGACCAACGCGGAAAAGGGAGTGAGGATGGGGCGCGTGAGTGGCGATTGGCGAATGTGGGAGCAAAGCCTGGGAAGGATGGGAAACAGGGGAAGTGGGGAAAGTGAAATAAGTGCACCAATGCTGACTTTCCGTCTCGTCCATCGAAGCGCTCACCTGAATGTCTTTGCCGACCGAGGCCGAGGCCGGACGATATTTAATTGAAAATGCCGGAGCCCTTGGCGCTGACGGCCTGCTGTTAGCCTTCTTTTGGCCTTCTTCTGACCCTCGAATCGCTCACCTGAATGTCTTTCCCGACGAGCACGCGTCCGAGGCCGGACGAGATCTGATTGAGGATCCCGGAGCCCTTTGCGCTGACGGCGAGCAGGGCGAGTTTCAAGTCGTAACAGTCTGGGCAGCACGTGTACTTGGTGGCTCCCACGCACCGCGTGAATGTTAAGTTAGACTTGGTAGGCGGCTGCTTCGTGTACGGACATAGCGGGAAGTTCGGTTTGTCTTCCGCTGAGACTGGTGCTATGAGGGCGAGAGAGAGGAGGAGGAGGGAGAATAGGAGACGTGAGGGTAACGAGATTTGGGTGGATTGCCGAGTCCGTGTGTCAGGCAGCGGTGACTTCCCCATCTTGAGTTTCTGTTAGCTGAAAGAGTTACTTGATTCGCGGGAAGTAACGAGAGGTTGAGGGACACGTTCGACTATGAATGAATTAACTAAGGGTCACGTGGATAGATCAATGTGATGGTCCTTATCATCTGCTGGGATTCAGTCTAGCTGTGATGGCTCCCGTAGCTCACGCGGTCGATTGGAGCTCAAACTGCCCACTGGAATATATACACGGAAGCTCTCGATTAAAATGAAATAGCTACTGACCGAAGCTTATTTCTAAGCAAATGCTGAACTTCTACTGGCAAGTAACGATAGCGAATGAAAAACCGTACCGATTTCGACAGAAATGCGGAGAAAGGGAGAGTATGAAAGAGGAGCAAGAGGGGGAAGGGGACGGGGGAAAGAGAAATTGAATAGGCGAAGGGATGAATGGAGGTTTTCCGCTCCAATTTTATTCAACTCGCGACCCGCCTTCCATTTCGGGGTCTGGTTCTGGTGGGGGCGATGTTCGCGGTGGATTTTGCTTCGGAAATCGAACCGCTGAAAGCCAGGCGCGTTTCGGCTTTCGAAAAAAATCGCGACGGCTTCGGCATTTCTGACAGCTTGTGGAACGGGGAATGCAATATCGAAATTGTAAAAAGTCCCGATTGCAGATTCATAAATAATACAAATCACACTTGTTCCATTGATCTTCACACCTTCTATCAAGGATGGTTTGCCGAAGCGCGACTGTGAGCTTCCTGTCCCCTTCCCCACCGATCGCCCGTGCAGCAAAGGGTTGCACCGTTCTGCCGCCAAGTCCTGGGTCAGGCACAAAATCACTTTCAATTTCGCAAAAAAAGAACAGCATTGTTCGACGGTACGATTTGACCGAATGAAGTGGGTCCAAAACGTGGGCCGAATTTCAGTCCGACTGATTTTTGTCTGTTTTGTTTTTCAGGGCAGGAGTTGTTCCACTCAAAAGACCGTTATGGTGGAGCTTCCGCGTTCCTCATTCCTGACACTCGGATAAGGGAAACCCTCAAAGTCCTGTGTCCTGACTGGAGCCTCGACAGTGTCGCGTCCCGTCACAATTGGGAATGCCGCCCAATCGTCATCACCAGGGCTTCAGCAGCTTCTTTCTACTCCCATGCTCACATATGTGCCTGATCTCACGATCGTCATTCGTCCCCCCCCACCCGCTCACCTCTTATCATTTCTTGGGTGTGCAAGACTTTCCAGTGCAGCTCACGCAGGTTTCCAGGCTCAGCTAGGAGTTTTCCAGGTTATCTCGTCTGGATAGTTGCATATTCTGGCCACTCTGAGTGGTGAGGCCTAGTTCTCAGTCAAAGAAGCTTGACTGCTCCCAGCTGACTCAGCTAAGCTCGGATTTATTGGCCGCGTCGACATGGAGAAAGCTAAGCTCGCCACTTGGTTCCTCGCCATAGCTCTTCTCGCAATGGTCACCGTTGCTGAAAAGTACCCTCTATGTCCGTTCACAGGCCTCCCTCCGACAAAACCAAAAGTATCGGCCTCGCGATGCCTCGACGCCGCTGAAATGTCATGCTGTAAGGACTGCTCCGATAGACGATACGCGCTCGCCGAAGTCAGCGCGAACGTCACAACGCTCATCTCCACAGTAGATCCTCGCCTTTCGAATCTCCTCGGCGCCAGAGACATTCAGGTAAGCCGAGAACGAAGTCGTGACGTGTTGAGAACGAAGTCAAACTCAAAACACGATCATCGGCAACAAAGACGTCCAGGTAAGCTGATGATGATAATCTAGTGCAATCGGGGCCGTCACGTATTTACTACCCATACGTTATCGCTATGATCCAATTAAAATGAAATTCACCCTGATGAGCGCGCCGTTCCTGCAAGGATGCTTGATCTGAGGCGACTAAAAACTGCAATCTGCTCGTTGATTGTGCATGCAGCTATGCTCGTCGTTCGTCAACTTCAGGGAGTGTCAGGACCTTCTCGAGCAGATGATATGCGCCACGGGCTGCAACCCAGGTGAGCCGGAGGGATTAGCTCTTGAAGCAACTTCGAAAGTCACCACGTCGTTCGTCGAGGGAGTGTCAGGACCTTCTCGGGCAGATGATCTGCGCCACGGGCTGCAACTCCAGTTGCGCTGCTGAAGGCTTCCGAAGAATTCCCAAAAGTGATTTCAATGTCAACGTTCGTGAGCTTCAGGGAACGTCAGGACCGTCTCGAGAATATTCGTAGCTCCTTTGATAGATCTTAATCACGTTTGATTCAAACCTTCGCAGCTTTCCTTCGTCAACGCTCCGTTTCTCAGAGTTCTCCATCTCTCCAAGCCACTCCATTCCTAATTCTCAACGTTTCTGCGACTGGTTATCTGTCTCTCAGATTCGGGGAAATATTTGGATCTCCCGCGCGGGGTAGTCGGCGAGATGCGCGTTTGCGCTCCTTTCGCTGACAAGGTGTACGAGAAATGCAAGGACCTGCCGCGTAAGTGATGTAACCTGGTAACCACGGCTTTCGCCGACAAGGTGTACGAAAAGTGCAAGGACCTGCCGCGTAAGTGATGTAACCTGTTAAACACTGTCTGCTGCGAAAGAGATGTACCCAGGTAACCTATTCGCAGTACTTCTGTTGGGGTACCTAAAATTCACCTCTTTCTCTTTCCCCCATTCCCACAGTACCCGGCTTTCAAGGCGCCATTTCTCAGTACTTTAACTCGGGGGAGAAGCTAATGACGACCCTGTTCGGGAGGGTCGGCCAGGCCTTCGATGCTATCAACTACACAGTGGTGGTCACTCCTGTAAGCGCTTTGTACCGCTCTGCAGCGTGCCGGTCACTCCGGTAAGCGCTTTATACCGTCCTGCACCATGATAATCACACCAACAAGCTCATACCGGTCTACACCACGCTGGTCACTTCGTTAACAATTTCATACCGCTCTGCGAGCACCTAGTTGGTGTTCTGCGACCCGCTGCCTTCCTCCCTGACTCCTCCATGCTATATGGAAATCACTTTTGAGATTTCCAAAAGTGATTTCTCAAAAGTGGTTTCTGACGCCAATGCGTTCTGCGACCCGCCGCCATTTTCCCCCACTCCTCCACGCCCTCTCCCAACACTCCTGTCTCCCACTCCGTCTCCTCCCTCTCAGGTTCTAGAAGGCACCGACAAGTGCTATAACGGCCCGCTGAAGCTCCCCTACACCAACGTTTGCTGCGACTCGCTCCCCTTTTCCCTCACTCCTCTCCCCACTCTCTCCCTCTCTTCCCACAACCTCCCTCTCAGGTTCTAGAAGGCACCGACAAGTGCTATAATGGCCCGCTGAAGCTCCCAGCCACCAACGTGTGCTGAGACTCACTCCCCGTTTTTCCTTACTCCTCTTTCCACTCCTGCTTTCCCCACTCCTCCTCTCTCCCAGGTTCTTGAAGGCACCGACAAGTGCTATAACGGCCCATTGAAGCTCCCCGACACCAACGTGTGCTGCGACTCGCTCCCCGCCACCAAAGAGTGCCCCATATCAAAGCTCAACGTTACCGCGCACCCCGAATATAAGCCTTTCATCGGCCGGACCATCGCCGACCCTTCCTGCCGTAAAGCACCAAGCGGTGGGGCCGGTGACTCTCCTAATGGCTCTGCTGGTGGCTCTGCTAGTGGCCCTGCTAGTGACCCTGCTAGTGGCTCTTCTAGTGGCTCTGCTAGTGGATCTGCTGCTAGTTCCTCTGGTACAGGCTCTTCGGCGTCGCCTCCTCCCCCCAAGGAGGCTGGACGGCTGGTGCTGGCTTATAGGGGGGTGTTGAGTGTTTTTGTGCTGGCAGCAGCTGCTTGCCTTGCGCTTTTCTAACTTGAGTAAGGAGGATTATTTCTGTGCGTTGTAGAGATGGGAGAAGCAAAGTTGGTTTGTGTGTAGAGAAGGTAGAGGAGCTAACAGAGTGGCAATCTGATTTGAGGATGTCAGGCGTTTTGGCAGTGTTTTGTTGTAGACTGCCAGTGATCTAGTCGGGCTTGACCAGAAAGCAAAATTATTGAAGGAATCTCAGTTGCACTTCAAGTCCAACATTACTGAACAGCATGCTCAGAAGGTGTAGTACACAAAAACTATATCTCAAAACCAGATGGTATGTGCAATGTGATGTGAAAAGAAGCCCATACCACGTGATACTGTATAAGTCCTTACTCTCTAAGCAGCACGTCGCCATTAGCCCCTCATCAACCCACAAAGACCACCAAACCATTACCACCAATCCAATGAGACCGCCGAACCACACTCAACCCCCAACTGCTCGGGTCTAGCTATTGCAGGATTCAGGTGTTAGTTCAACTCTGGAGAAAATTCAAAACTTTCTAGAGTGACTGCAATCTGAGCTATCTGTGCGCATTGAGGAGAGGTCATGCTGCAAGATGAGTGCAGCACGAACATGGTGACTTTTGAGTCGACTCAGAACTGTCACATGCCTCACGATGCGCCAAAGGGAGCGACTGAACTTTGCATCGTGATTGCAGAGATCATGGTTGCTTTCAAAACTGGAGCGTCAGTAGTAGCGATCTGAGCGCCTCGAGTGGCAGTCGCAAGGGCTACGAG